TAAACCTATTATTCACCAAGCACTACTACTGATCTGATCTGGACTCTACATGACCCACTCATCAATCTATGGGTCAGCTCTAAATTGGCTAGCTGGCTTTGTTCATTTCATGGGGGCTCACTCAGGTCTGAGATCTCAGCCAGAACAGGGCTTATTCATTTCTGCTCCTACAGTGATCTAGCCCATATGTATCCTCTTGATGAAGGCAGAGAGCAGGAGAGGAAGTGAAAATGCATGAGTGCTTTTTCAAGCCTCTGCTTGTGCCAAGTTTGCTACTGTTTCAGGGGCCAAAGCAAGTCACATGGATGAGCCCAACGTTGGAAGGAACATATAGGGCAAAAGATGTAGTTGAGGGAGTCCATTTATTGGGTCCACTTACAAATGAATTTTTTAAAATTTTTTTAAAGATTTTATTTATCTGAGAGAGAGAATGGGAGACAGAGAGCATGAGAGGGGAAGGGTCAGAGGGAGAAGCAGACCCCACGCTGAGCAGGGAGCCTGATGTGGGACTTGATCCCAGGACTCCAGGATCAAGACCTGAGCCGAAAGCAGTTGCTTAACCAACTGAGCCACCCAGGCGCCCCTACAAATGAATTTTTTAAATAAGCATATCTCTTCCTTCAGTGTAGCAAAGGGCGTTCTGGCTGACTGAAGAGTTTTACGTAAGGAAGGTTCTAGGCAGACAGAAGGAAGGAAAGCCCACTCTTCTGGTATAAGATGACCCATGCAAAGATGACCAGTTCTCTCAAAACCAGGGTTGTGGGGACAAAATTACTTGGCAGTCAGTGGACAGTCTGCTCATGAGGAAGTTTATAAAGAAAACAAATTACTTTTCTTGGCACATCCATACCAGTGTGAGAAAACATGTAACCTAGTACTAGACACATACTAGGTTAAGTGAGAGTAGAAGAAATAGGGTTGAGTTAGTAAAAGCATGGTCCCGTATATGAACAGATTGATTTTGCTGAAGTTAGGGGTTTGCGCTGAGCACCTTAAGGAGAAAGGGTTGAAAAAAATTACATGGGGGGGCGCCCAGGTGGCTCAGTTGGTTAAGCATCTGCCTTCAGCTCAGGTCGTGATCCCAGGGTGCTGGGATTGAGCCCCATGTCAGGCTCCCTGCTCAGTGGGGAGTCTGCTTGTTCCTCTCCCTCTGCCCCTCCCCTAGCTTGTGCTCTCTCTCACTCTCAAATAAATAAAACTCTTTAAAAAAAGAAAAAAGACTACATGGGGTTAGATTTTTGAAGAATTTGAATGCTAGGCTATCGAATGTGAATCTAATCCCATTAGCAACGGGAAGCACTAGAAATTTTTTGGCAGAAATATAAATAGTATTCCAAAATTCCTGAACAGTTTGGAAAACAGGTGAATACAGGCAGATCGTACAAAAGTTACCGAAACAGGTTTTCTTTTTTTGGAGACGTGTAGAGACTGAATTAAGGTTGGGAGAAGGAATGGAAAGGGTTTTGTCTGTGGGAAATACTATGGAGAGATAGGGATTAACTACTGTAAGTGAAAAATGGTTAAAGACAAACCTAAAGACCTCACTGGCAAAAAGGTTACCTATCTCACAAAGGTGGAAATAGTGGATATTCAAATTTTCTGACTAATATTTGGTCTGCTGCTATATCCCTCTAACCCACAGTCAATTTTTAAAAATTTTTCAGAAGTACTGATATATGAAATAAGCAAAGGCACTAAAATATATATTCATATTTTTTAATAAAGGCAACACATTGATTTTTAAAATCATGAAAATTTTCTTCTGATGTGGATATGAAGGATCCCAAGATGAGTGATTAGACATTTTAATACTTTCAAACTCTGTGCTCTCTCTGTTCATGTTATTAACACTGGCATTAAAGTTGTGATGATTCTTTTTATAATCAGAACATCCATCCATCAAGCTGAAACAAATTCATTTGCTATCTTCCTCATTATCAACTTAATGATTTTCAGGCATTTCAAATAGTCTTAATATGGAACCACGGCTGTGATGTGATTTTTATGTCCCATTACCAATGCCCCATTTTGCTAGACTCTAGCTATGATCATAAAGAGAAGATTAGGAAGTATTCCTTAGGACTGGATGTCCTTTGTGAAAGTAGAGGAGTTGGGACTACTTTTGAAGAGATTTCTTTTAATCGTTTCTGTATTCTCAGGTGCTGTTCTACCCATCCCTACTTTCCAATAACACCCATTTTCTTCCCTTTGGATCGGTCATTACCACCCCCCACCCCCACCCCAAACCTACTTTGCTCTTTGTCAGGGTCTTCCAAATGAGACCAGCTTTGCAGCAATATATGTTGACCAAGTTCTTTTGCTACTATTGTGTTTCACTACTGCTAAGCTTCATCCTGTCTTCTAGTTCTCGTACTCTTCAGGCTCCTAAGTTTCTTCCTGCTTTGGACCCACACTAGGCTCTGACCCCTTTGCAATCTTTACACAAGCTGACAGCAGTCAGAGGTTCTTGGCTTGCTCCCTCCGCTCTACCACTCCCTCCCCTCTGATAGATCCCTGACAATTCCTGTCTCTGATGATCAAGGCACTAGTTTTTCTCTTTGTTCTTCTTTGTCAGTTGTTGGGGAGAATATTTTCATGAAGTTTTTTTTTGGGGGGGGGCCAATGTAAATGGAGTAAAAGTGTACATGAAACAGGACAGAATAAATTCTGAAATAAATAGGACTTTCAAATCAGGAGTTACTGGAGGAGAATAAAGGCGAAAGACTTTTATTGATTCCACAAAGACAGTATAAACAAAGCTCAAATCTAGTTTTCTTTTTTGCCTTTAATAAGTACTGGTTATTTATCATTCTTGCATATGAACACTGTCCTACAGGTCTAACACATATCACAGAAATGGTCTAAATATAAAATGTTGGCAGGTAATAGATATTAAAAAATCTACTTTTTCCGTCATAGTTAGGCGAAAAGCTATTAAAGGAAGCCTCCCTGTAGAGAATAAGAACTTTGAATTTCAAATTTTTTGGACAAGAATACATTTTTTTCTTAAGTCTTTAGATTTCTAGTCCTATAGAAGTCTTTGGACTAATAAAACCTACTGTAATTCCTCTGGAGAAATACTTTGAAGCATATTCCAACAAATTTACAGTCGTACCCATTAGATAATGCCGTAATTTGAAGTTTATACCCAATCAATCCAACACTTCTTTTGAATATGAAAGAACTGTGAACATAAATTCTGCATTGTTCTTTCTTTGGAAAAGAAAACATTCACTCTAGTATTTAGCTCCTACTAATCAGTAGGCGGTTTTCTAAACAAACAAACAAGGTATAAAAACAGCAGTAAGACAATGAAAATTTTCCTTTGGAAATTAGATTTGGTGGGGGGGGGGAGCTAGTCAATAGCAAATCACCCAAATTGAGATAACATTCTAGTGGCGAGACAAGTAACAGCCAGTAAATATAATATCAGGTAATGAGAAGAGCTTAAAGAATGAAGCCCATTAGGAGAGAAAGCTGGAGGTGAGTGGAGAAAGGCACTATTCTGTGGAGGGTGGTGAGGATGGGCCCTTGTGCACTACAGCACGTACGATCAGACTACTGACAAGTGTGGGGGCAGAGGTGGGGGAAGAGTTTCTCTCGGCGGCCGCCACTGGGAAGGGGCTGTACCAGGAACCAGCTGAGAATATTCAAGCAGCATCTTCAGAACCGCCATCTCAACGATGCCAACGTCTCCCGGCGACTATTTTCATAAAACATCAGCATATTTAATTAGAGTAATTATGCAACTACACGAATGTCTTGGATGCTATGGTAACTACAAAATGCAAGGTTTTGAATAAGTATTGAGTCAACTTTTCAATCCCTCCTTAAAGGAAGCACGTATAAAACAAATTTAAAACACACAAATTAAAACTTATTTGGTACATAAAAACTACTGAGATCGACAACTTATTGAAAAGTGGACAGATTTTAATACCGCAACTAGCAAAACCTGACAGACTGCTTGGAGCTAGAGAGGATCCATGCTCATCCAATGATTTAAACAAGAAAATTAAAAGCAAAATTAGCCGCTGCACTAAAAACATATAAGACACCACTAGTTATTTAAAATAACAGGCTTTGAAAGCTTTTGCCATTTAAAAAATAAGTTTAGAACTTTTCCCTTTATTTTATAGCCCAGTGCAGTCCTAGCTTACTCTTTTCGCTTGCTATGAAATAATCTCAAGGTGTTTTTTTGTTTTGTTTTTTAGAACTTGAGCTTATCTGAGCACTCTTATGTAATATTTTCCATTTTTCTCCCTTTGGACATAGAGAAGGCAAAATTAAGTTAGCAGCAAAAAATACACTACCACCACCTACATCCATAATAGCTGTCAAATAAAAACACACTAAAGCCTAACAATTAAAGCAGAGAGCCCTAATGGGGGACATAATTTTTATACTCTGAAGGAATTAGGATTTGCATGCCATTTCCCCATCTGTCTTTGAGCATTTTCTTCCAAATAAAACCTAACAATGTGTTTAAAACTGGAAGGTTTTATTACAGCTCATGGGACTATAATTTTTTAAAATAACATTTATTCTGATACAGATCGTTACTAGCTGATTAAGCACTTAGCTTATAACAGGCACTGTGCTGCATGCTTTAGGAGTACACCTCATTTTTTGCTCGGGACAATTCACCTTTAGAGTTGAGAAAAGTGAGACTATGAGAAGTTAAGGAACTTGACCAAGTTTGCCTAAAAATGACAGGGCTCAAGTTTAAACCCAGGTCTAACTCCCGAAGCCTGTGTTCTTAACCACTTTGTACCCTGCCTCCTATTTATGGAGATATCCTTAAAGTGAATGATTGGCTTGAAAATCATTTACCTGTTTCCATCCTATCTCAAGAATATGAACTATTTCTATCTTACTTTCCTTAGGACATCAAATTTTAGGTTTAAAATAAAATTGAGGGGCGCCTGAGTGGCTCAGTCGGTTAAGCGTCTGCCTTTGGCTCAGGTCATGATCCCAGGGTTCTGGGATCGAGTCCCACATCGGGCTCCCTGCTCTGCAGGAAGCCTGCTTCTCCCTCTCCCTGCTTGTGTTCCCTCTCTCGCTATGTCTCTGTCAAATAAATAAAATCTTTAAAAATAAATAAATAAATAAAATAGAAAAATTTCAGTGCTGGAAGAAAACTAAAAAAAATTTTAGTGAGCTCAACATGCTGTTTTAAAAATGAAGAAACGAAGGAGGCATGTGCCTACAGACCCAGGGCACCCTGCAGGCAGACCTGGCTAGAGCCTAGGTCGCCCAGTCTAGGTCCCCTCTACTGCTCGGTAACAGTCCTCATAGGTGCCTGAGAAGGAGCCAAGAGAAAGTTGTCAGAGGTGGGGGGTGAGTTGGAAATAGTGTCTTATTTTTTTCCTTATTCATTTAATTGTTAATGGGGTTTCTAACACAGCTAGTTAAATTACACTGCAACAGGCCTACTTGTTTAAACTCCCAGAAAGACTTTATTAGAATTGCATGGAGCACTCCTGCTCAAAAAGCTTCATTTTCCCTTTTAAGACCACCTTTAATCTTTAGAGCATCCTTTTGGGATAAGGCAGGAAGAAAGGGAGGGGAATAACCTAGAGCCCAGCAAATGTCTCATCAGCTCAACTTATTATCAATTTATTTCACAGCCATAGGAAGCTTAGAAAAAGAGGTTCTACTACACATTCATCAACATCACCTGAGACCCAAGGCCCAGAACATTCTATAGCAACATTTAACAAAATGAGCACTTAAAGATAGTATTTATCAGATCGGTAGTAAGATTTAATCCAAAAGTTTCTCTGCCATCCATTTCCTGACATGAACGTCTGAGTGGTATTCTTCCGTGCATGATGGTTGCACGATGGGTGATAAATACTGGAACAGTGTGTAGGCTAGTCTATTATATCCCACAGAAACTAACTCCAAGGACTGAAGGACTGGCCCCCTCTACCCTACTCAAGATCAAGTGATAGGGCATCTTCAACCCTAGATTTGAACAAATCGTAGCTAGTGCCTATGTCTCCAATAGATTTTTTTTCTTAAAGGAATGGATTTTGGGGAGGAAAAATATGGGGCAGAGAGGTATAGAACATAAAATACAAATGTAAGCTGTTTTACTAAGTGTTTTATTGCCACAACAAATTCGTACAGAGAAGGACCTGTACAAAATACAATAAAGTTTCAAAGACTGAGGTGTTCCCTCAGCAAGGCTAAAAATTTCAGTCTCTGGTATTTGGAATTTGGGCTGCAGTACTTGTCCTTGGATGGATCACAGGCCATGCTTTTAACGAGACTGAAATAGCAGAATGGCCAGCTGGCCCAGGTAGAAGCAGAAGAAGTGTTGGTTTCATGGGTCACACAACTACCAAAGTTCCTCCCCCCCCCGATGCAGGGCCAGGAGGCGTTGTCCTCCTTAGTATGGTCCACAAGCGTCTTCTCTGCATCCTATTCCTCCAACGCCCAAGCAGCACACTCCACCCAGCCCTGTTGTATCTCCTCTGACATACTGGCATTTTTGATGATGGCCTTTTGGTCTTTGTTTTGTTTCATATTTTGATTATTTAACGTTTGTTTTTCCTTCTTTTAGTAAGTGTCTCAACTCAAACATATGCTTTCTTTAGGGTTTTATGAATAGCTAAAACACATCATTACTGTGAGCTAGCCAGTGATTCCTGCAAGCATGCTGTACACATTAAGATACTACTTATCCAAATATGAAAAACCCTCAGCAAACATCATACTCAATGGTGAAAAACTGAAAGCTTTTCCTCTAAGATCAGGAACAAGACAAGGATGTGTACGCTCACCACTTTTATTCAACATACTACTGGAAGTCCTAGCCACAGCAGTCAGACAAGAAATAAAAGGCATCCAAATTGGTAAGGAAGAGGTAAAACTATCACTATTTGCAGATGATGTGATACTACATAGAGGAAAACCCTAGAGACTCAACCAAAAACTACCAGAACCGATAAATGAATTCAGTAAAGTTGCAAGATACAAAATATACAGAATGTGTTGCATTTCTATATAACAAAGTAGCATAAAGAGAAATCAAGAAAACAATCTCATTTACAATTGCATCAAAAATACCTAAAAATAAACAACCAAGGAGGTTAAACACCGGTAATCTGAAAACTATAAAACAATCATGAAAGAAACTGAAGAGGACACAAACAAATGCAAAGATATTCCATGCTCATGAATTGGAATATTGTTGAAATGTCTATACAAAAAAATCTACAGATTCAGTGCACTCCCTATCAAAATACCAACAGCTTTTTTCATAGAGCTAGAATACTAAAGTTTGTCTGAAACCACAATAATCTGATTTTAAAATGGACCTGAATAGATGTTTTTCCAAAGAAGACATACAGAAAAGACATTTTCTAAAGACATGAAAAGATGCTCAGCCTCACTAATCATCAGGGAAACACAAATCAAAACCACACTGAGATATCACCTCACACCCGTCAGAATGGCTAGTATCAAAAAGAAATAACAAGTGTTGGCGAGGATGTGGAGAAAAAGGAATCCTCATGTACTCTTGGTAGGAATGTAAATTGGTGCAGCCACTGTGGAAAATAGTACTGAGTTTCCTCAAAAATTAAAAATAGAAATGCCACACAACCCAGTAATTTCAGTACTGGGTACTTACCTAAAGAAAATGAAAATATTAATTTGAAAAGATTTACATACTCTATGTTTATTGCAGTATTACTTATAATAGCCAAGAGATGGAAGCAACCCAAGTGTTGGATAAAGAAAATGTGGTATCTATACACAAAAGAATATTATTCAGCTATAAAGAATGAGATCTTGCCATTTGTAGCAACATGGATGGACCTAGAGGGTATTATGCTAAGTGAAATAAATCAGAGAAAGTCCAATACATTTCACTTATATGTGGAATCTAAAAAAAGAAAAAGAAACAAACAGAAAAAACTCAGATTCTAAAATAGAGAGAACAAACTAGTGGCTCCCAGAGGAGAAGTGGAGAAGAGGATGAGTGAAATAAAGAGGATTAAGAGGTACAAACTGCCAGTTATAAAATAAATAAGTCACAGAGATGAAAAGTACAGCATTACACAATATTGTAATTACGTTATATGGGGACAGATGACCACACTTATCATGATGAACACTGAGTACAGAATTCTTAAAGCTATGATGTACACCCGAAACCAATATAACATTGTATGTTAATTATATTGCAATAAAAAAGTACTCTTCCTCTAAATAATTCTATGAAGAAACTGAAGCACAGAGAGGTTTCATAACTTTCCCAGGATCCCATAGCTATTAAGCGGTAGAGCCAGGATGTGAAGGCAGGTGGTCTGGCTCCAGAGCTCATGTTCCTAAGCCATGCTGACCCTTTAAATATTGGATGGACAGGAGCCCTTCAAGACTCACCGTAAGGAATCCTCTCAAATGAATTTCCCTAACAATCAGATTTTTGGTACAACAAATTTACCTATTTTTAATTAGAAGAAATTAACTATTTGATCTTTAGTTTGATAACTGCATTCTTTCATCATAACAGCAAAATCTGGAAAATAAAGAAAATTTCACCCATAGTTGCATTTTTCTATTTAGTGTATTTCATTTCTCAAGTTATATTTATATGCATCTGTTTTCTGTTGTGTTTTTTTTTTTTTAAGAGAGGGAGGGGGAGGGGCCGAGGGAGAGGGAGAATCTTAAGCAGGCTCCATGCCAAGTGTGGAGTCCAACGCAGGGCTTGATCTCACAATTCTGAGATCATGACCTAAGCCGAAATCAGGAGTTGGACACTTAACTGAGCTACCCAGGTGCCTCGATAGCCATCTGTTTTTTACTACTACTATCAGAATAGAAACAATTCTATAACTATAGTGTATTTTTCAAACTAATTTTACATAAAAGCAGCCTGATGTTTCAGTCAGTCTTCATACTTCCTTTTCTTGTCTTGAGAAGATTCAAATAAACCCCAAATGTCTTATCTTCCAGGTGTCCTCCCTTCTACCAGCTCTATTCACCCTAAACTCTGCACATTCTCTCTTTGTAGGCACACCATGGGATGAGTGGAATATGCTCCTGGAGGGATGAGGAAGGAAATGATAAGTCATAATTTTATTTCTGAAGGGCTGAAGGGGCCATTCAAATTCCCTAGTCGGACATCCCCTTCAGCAGTTGATGAAAGCAGGCCAGGACAGGTGTGGTGAGTCACCCACGTGAGTGACAGAACTGGGACCACAAGCACAACTGTCCTGGCTCTTACTACAACTATCACTGCTCTGTCTTCCATCTGCACCACTATTCAGCTACACGAGTCAGAGGAAGGAACTAAAATATTTTAAATAAAGTCCAAATTTTTCTGACCTCCCACAATGCTCACTTAACAAGCCCAAAATTTTTGCTTTATAAACTCAGTGTTAATATTTTAAAACTTCTGGATGCATGCAAAAAACCAAAAAGGACTATTCTGTCAGGACCTAGTACAAAAATTTTATGGTAAGGCATCAATTGAGATGGAACTGACCTATTATAATCCTGTATGCTAACTGTTTATAAAATTATATAGTATTCCTAAATAGTTTTCACTATAATTTTTTAAATGCCCCAAATTAATTAGGATAACCTATGAATATGGTCTGTCAGTTCTGAAAGAAAATTTTAAAAGACCTCATACTCTACTTTTAATTCTTTGGCCTGATTTCCTTTTAGATGCTCAGAGAGGACACTGAAGGATACTTGAAAGCAAAAGAGTGTAGTTATTCGATGCATGAAAAAGAAGAAAATAACATAGGTTAAAATATTACACCCTGGAGGAAACTCTAGAGAGTAAAAGGGTGTTGAACAGAAAGCCACATTTAAGCTTAAAGGCAAACTAATTTATTACAGGAGAAATCAGAGAAGTTTTACAAAGGGAGTTATAAGTTAAAACATCTAGTTTAGTGATCATTAAAGCCATGTTTGAAAATGTTTCTACCATTATCACATAATTAGTCACTAGTAAATTAAAATGAAACAAAGTTCTTAATGATTTAAGTTAGCATATAGAAAGGGACATGAATATAAGGCATTTGGAAAAACAAAGTTGGCTTTATGGCTTATTCTTTTTTATCATTCTAGAACAGTTACATTGATGTTTATAAAGTATCACAGACAGACTTCTCTTCTGGAAGCTGAAAGCTGTGTTTGGGAAAAAATTTATTAAGAACCTAGCAAATACTTTTGTCAGAAGTTTTGGCAAGGCATTAAGAAGTGGGATTTCTATGAAATTAGAATAAGTCAGAATAAGGTAAATTCACATTGGGAAGGCAAATAGACCTACATATAGGTTCAAATGTCAAACCCGGTTATTTTAGACAAGGACATGTAGGAAAATCATTCTAAAAGGTCAACTTAAATTAAGAATCAATTTTTTCCAGGGAAAAAACAGACCTGTCCTTTCTGTAAGGCCTGGACCCTCTCAGCAAACGCCACCTTGACAAAATTAAGATCTTCCTTCCCTTTGATCATGGACTATCCCCTAAACAAATTGCAGATGATAAACCTTAAAATCATCAGCAGTGCAGTTTTATTAGAGTGCATTCATTTCATTTTATGAGCAAATGCCAAGTTTGACAGCATGACACCCGAGCCCCTGAATGCATGGCTGGTCGGCTCTCTGGGAAAGCACGGGACAACAATAATGCAGACAGCTTGGTGCTTACGCTGTTCTTCCTGCTGGAAGCTGAACTATTGTCTCTCCCCTGAAGCAAGAAACAGGCCCAGTGCCTTTCAAACCTGTATGATATAAATTAACAGAGACTTTTATAAATGACAATTACAAAATATTTCAGTACATCTGTTTAATCAACAAATGTTTAAAGAGCCAAGCATGATTCTGCTATAAAGAGAAACAGGAGATTTATGGGACAGTGCTTTGGCTAACATTTTATCTTCCCAGTTCTTAACTGTGACAAAACTATTATACAGTTATACTACTCATGAAGTTTTTATTTATTTTTTCCTATAAAATAATCAGTTGCATGCAGACCTCAGATAGATCCAGATCATCGGCCTTTACGTATTTGTGACAGTTTAATTTTCTTCTTTCTCCTTTACCATTGTAGAATTGTCATAAGAATCATTTGTTTTATTTAGTTCCATTTCATTTTACCTTTCTTTTGACTGAAAAAATAACACCTGATTTAGGAAAATGTTATTTAATAAAAACAGAAATAGTATTCTGGGATTTAAGTTAATACTGTTACTTAGCCACTAGGCTATGCTAAAGGACAGTCCATTTGTTCAAGAACACTTCTGTCTTCCAGCTACCCAAAAAAGGAGGAAAATAAATTAAAAAACTGGATATGAATTATTTAACCATTCAAAACCTAGCTGGTAATTCATTTAACAGATGTATATGAGTTTATATAATTAGTTTATAGGACATGTTCCAAAAGAATAAATGAGCCCTTTTTAAAAAAATCAAATCTATGTCATGTGGTAATGTCCAGTTTGGTTTAAAAGAATGAAATCATCTTTATGTGTATTTTATTCAAAATAAGTGTATTTTCATTTATATGTAGTCACTCCTATTTTTTTTTTTAAAGATTTTATTTATTTATTTATTAGAGAGCGAGCGAGAGAGAAACAGCATGAGAGAAGAGAGGGTCAGAGGGAGAAGCAGACTCCCTGCCGAGCAGGGAGCCCGATGCGGGACTCGATCCCAGGACCCCGGGATCATGACCTGAGCCGAAGGCAGTTGCTTAACCAACTGAGCCACCCAGGCGCCCCTAGTCACTCCTATTTTTTAAAAAAACTATAATATTTAGTCATGGACTGATTAGTTATCAGAAACATGAGCTTTTTATCAGATATATTTTTCTGCTTATAAAAAGGTTATTTAGGGTGCCTGGGTGGCTCAGTTGGTTAAGCAACTCAGGTCATGATTTCGGAGTCCCGGGATCGAGTCCCACATCGGGCTCCCTGCTGGCAGGGAGTCTGCTTCTCCCTCTGACCCTACCCGCTCTGTGCTCTCTCTCTCACTCTCTCTCAAATAAATATAAAATCTTAAAAAAAAAAAAAAAAAAAGGTTATTTAAAAAGGCAACAGTTGAGAACCAAATACATTTGTTTTAGATATTTTTCACATTAAAATTATACTCTATTCTCTAACTTGTGTTTAGAACCCTTTGTATTTCAACTTAGGAATGCAACTTATTGCCATTTTTTCCTTAAAACTCTAAGGACCATACTACTATTTTCATCATCATTATTATATTAATACCTATCCTTGACTGCATACTGTGTGGGGAGGGGGCACTGAGATTCAAACAGGTCCAAGAAACTCACAGTGCAGTTGGGGACACAAAAAATAAAACACTGATAAAATAAATTGAAGGCCCACACAGGTGCTATATATATGTGATGAATATTCATTACATGTTATAATAGTTCATATAAGAGAAGCCCACATTCTTAGAACATCCAACAGGTTTTTATAACTAAAGACCCAGAGGATTTCAAAGTCTAGTTCTCAAAAGTGGTCTGAAGATAAAAATCCATAACCCTCCCAATTTATTGTTTAATCCACTTGACAAGTCTATCTGTAAGAGGGGTTTGCCATATTTTAAAGATAAATTAATCTTTTTTTTAACTTGTCTCTTTTTCAATTATTCATTACTCATCTGTTAATTATTCATTATAGGATGAATTATTGACAGAACACAACCCAGCCCCAAAGCAAAATGCTATTAATCTACTACTCATATCCTATTATCGCTTTGGCATATGACAGAGTACTTGGAAGAAAAAGGTTAGTGGACTTTCTCTTCTTAAATGTAATTAAGTTCAGTAAAATCCATTTATGAGACACTGCAGAAAAAAGATGAATACAATTATGATGTAGGTCAAACCATGTTTGCCCATATACACAGGGGTGATATTTAAAATATTTATGTGTTTCCACAAGCACCAAGGAACCCAAACAGCTGCTTGCGCTAAAGCACCTGTACCTGCCCATGGGGATAAACTGCCAGGACAGCAATGTTGAAAACCTTTAATTCTGGTTGATCATCATCATTATTATGTCCAATATGGACATTAGCTTCTACTGAATCTCTATTATGAAATATGATATTCTTAATTATGCTGCATAACATAGCAACTAGCAAGACAGCATCACATGTATTTTCAGTTCTAGAACTCCTTCCTTTTACATATTATAAACTGCAGAGATACCTGAATGTCTAGAATTGCCTATTGGTATCTTTTAGGAATGGCAGATAATAATTCATGTGGCTGGATCTAAAGCATTACTGATCTGAAACCAAGGTGAGTTCCTGGGCTTTCTATATTAAATTGAGAGCCTATTTTGAGATTACAATTTTCTTTAGTGACCCCCTTCACTGGTAGTCTTCGACAGAAGTCAACTCCAGACCCATCCTGGGGTTCCTGACTTAGTCAAGGGCTCAGAGATAAGATATAAACCAGTTCTCCTTCAGTGCAAAGGATTAAAAAAAAAAAAAAGGAAAGGAAACCAACCAACCAAAAAAATCAACTCTTGGCAGGGGTTTGGACTGCCCCACCTGCCCTGGAGCATTCTAAAGGAAGAAGTTGCCAAAGAGGAGAGCAGGGCTTTCTTCCCACAGAAGTGAAAGGCTGCAGAGCTTGCCATGTTCCCAACCTCATGTTTAGTGTCTTGGTTCTTGGGACACTTTGAAGGCTCCAGGGGTATTCATCATGGTGATGGCCATTTGTAAATTAAAGACTATGTTGGAAGTATAATACATAGGTTCCAATTTCTTATGGATGGTGCCCTTCGTCAAAAGAGACTGATATAAAAATAGTAGAGAAATAACTGCAGTGCCTGGAATATATGTTCCTTTATGCCCAACTCTAGACTCTACTAGTCTCTAAGCACTTTAGGGTGGTAATATTCTCACTCTCTATGCCAGCTGTACCCAACTTGTCTTCATTGGCTAAAAGTCCTTCCAGAACTCTTTATTGCCCATAGATATGCTATGTCATGTGACTGGGATGCCCTTCCTCCTCACTGCCCACCCAAATTCATACTTCAAGTTTCATCTCAAAAGTCAGGTGTCTTGTGAGATTTTCATGACCGATTGTAGCTAAAATCAGAAGTGTTCTTTCCACCAGTTCCCATTCATCTCTTACAGCACTTACCGTTCACTATTATAATTACTTGTATACAAGGCTGAATCCCTGACTAGCCACTTCCTTTAGGCCTGAGATGGTATCCCATTGAGGTTTGTTCTGGGAGGAACAGAGTAAGCGCTCAATACATGCTTGCTAAATAAATCAATGGTGAGCAGGTAGAGGGAGGAATGAGAAGAACTCTAAATATTAAATCCCAGGAACTCCATCTGCATTATGAGCTGAGTCATGGTTAGCCTTTAGTTTGTGTTACTACATTGAAGATGCCATAATGTGGGCTACATTTTCCTTTCAAAGAGCCCACCCTCTGAGCTGTTCTTCCCATCACTGAGCCTCATTCTGCTTACACATTGCCCATCCAAACCAAGGAAGCAATGTAGTCCTTAGTCCCTGTTAGTCATCCAAAGAATCCTTATCTTACTGACTCATCAGTTAACTCCGCCACGGTGCTGGTGATCTGGCTGCAAAGCCAGCAGATGGCACCTCTCCACACAGGAATGCATGTTCTTAGACTCTTACGTTGGTTGCTAATCTCAGACAGAGCCACTTGAGCAACTGCTTCTCTCCACTGTGAAAAAAGGGTTGCATTCCTTCCTAATAACTAACAGCCCTGTGCTGGGATTTGACTGTAGTGAGTCCTATAGGGTTCATCTGAGAAAGACCCAGGTTTTTAAAAAACTCATTTTATTGTATTCAAGAGTTCAGACCTGTTACCTCACCAACTACAAGGACAAAAGAACCCTGGCTGAGATGAGGGCTGACCCCGGCCCACGGAAGTCCCCAGGAGACAGGCTTACCCACCAGCGTCGGTTCGTCCAGGAGCAGTGCCGTTTTCCACTCACACGTTGGATGAACACTCACATCCCTCCCTGACAAAACTTTCACACAGCCTCCTGGAGTTATATCTGAATGACATTTTAGCTTTAATATATTTTATGTAAGTTTATTTCTGGGAGACCTGAATGCTATGCTAGTTTCAACCATCATTATATTTTGGAAAGTATCTCTTAGAGGTTATCTCCATCTATCACTACTCTTCATCAATATAAATGATGTAGAATACCACTGCAATCAATTACCAATATGATGTTAGCATGGAAGCAGTTATCTTAACTAAATACCCATGTATTTAGATATAAAGGTGTCTAGCAGTTTAAAAAATTAAGCTATTCCATAAATGTCACTTTGGGGGAAATTCCATGATATACTGGCTCTGTCAGTAAACTGACAAAAATGATACATTGAAATTAAATCCAGTAATTCAGGAGAAAAAGATCTTCAAGTACACACTCACCCACTATGTTTCATATGTGGTGGTTTATCCATTCGCACTGCTAATTTGATTTTTAAGTCAGAGTCCTGGCTATTTTTTGGAACTATCATTCGGTGCAACTCAGCTGACTTGGAGCTATTAGAAGTTGGGTATAATATCACCTGTGAAAGACAAAAAAGAAAGAAAACATTTATGTGTACAATACCGTGTCTAATGATTGGAACGGAAATCTTTTCTCTGTTTTCCTATTTAAAAAGAAGGTATCATGCCCAAATGTGTCTAAACCATTTGACTCCCACCACAACAGATGGGTTTTCAATACAGACTCATTTATCTTTTTGACAAATATGTGTTTTCATATTATCACATAACGAGTTTTCTTCCTATGTCACTTCATAATGAGGTTAAGAGCACAAAGGCTACAGTTGAATTGACAGTTGAGAAATACTTGTTAGACACCTATAATTTCAAGACTATTCTAAACTCCTTAGGACAGGGCGCCTGGGTGGCTCAGTTGGTTAAGCGACTGCCTTCGGCTCAGGTCATGATCCTGGAGTCCCTGGATCAAGTCCCGCATCGGGCTCCCTGCTCAGCAGGGAGCCTGCTTCTCCCTCCGGCCCTCCCCCCTCTCATGTGCTCTCTGTCTCTCTCATTCTCTCTGTCTCAAATAAATAAATAAAATCTTTAAAAATAATAATAAAATAAAAAAATAAACTCCTTAGGACAAAAGTTCAGAAAGAAGTATTTTTTGAAATTACTGATAGCATGCTTAAAAAAGTAAAACCAATTATTTTAGGCAGCAAAAATATAACTCATATTTTAATATTTTCATTGTAAAATAGTATTAAAGGAAATCAACTCAATTAGAGATGGAAAAGACTGATATCACAGCACATTTTCTGCCTTAGATCAATACCAAAGGATTTTTTCCCTGATAACATGTTTTAGAAACTATGAAGATATTATGACTGAAACAAAATAATTTTTAACAAAACCTCCAAATCACCAAGTGATTATTTCAGAACTCTACAGCTTCACAAAGCCAACACAGAAGAAAAGCTTACTCTTCATATACAAGCCTACCTCATCTTAGTGCATTTCACTTTCTTGTTCTTCACAGATACTGCATTTTACAAACTGAAAGTCTGTGGCAACCCTGCGTTGAGCAGGCCTACTTGGTGCCGTTTTACCAACAGCACCTGCTCACCTCACGTCTTGTCACATTTTGGTAATTCTCAAAATGTTTCAAATTTTTACATTATTATATTTGCTATGGTGTCTGTGGTCAGTGAACAACTGTAATGTTTTGGGGCATCACAAACCATGCTCATGTAGGACTACAAACTTAAATTTGTGTTTATAAATGTGTGTTTTCTGACTGCTCTACTAATTGATTATTACGCTGTCTCTCTCCCTCTCCTTGGGTCTCCCTATTCCCTGAGACACAATAATATTGAAATTAAGATACTAGCCTTACAACAGCCTCTGAGTGTTCAAGTGCAAGAAGGAGTCACGTGTCTCACTTTAAATCAAAAACTAGAAATCACTAAGCTTGGTGAGGAAGGCATGTCAAAAGCCAAGATAGGCTGAAGGCTAGGTCTCCTGGGCCACATTGTCATTGCAAAGGGAAAGTTCTTGAAGGAAATTAAAAGTGTACTCTAGTGCATGCACAAGGGATAAAAAGCAAAACAACCTTATTGCTAATATAGAGAAAGTTTTAGTGGTTGTGAGAGAAGATCAAATAAGCTACAACATTCCCTAGAGCCAAGGCTTAATCCAGAGCAAGACCCTAACTCTCTTCAATTCTATGAAGGCTGAGAGAGGTAAGGAAGCTGCAGAAGGAAAGTCTGAAACTAGCAGAGGTTGGTTCATGAGGTTAAAGGAAAGAAGCCGTCTCCATAACATAGAATTACAAGGTGAAGCAGTTAGTGCTGATGTTGAAGCTACAGCAAGTTATCTGAAGATCTAACTAATAAAAGCAGCAACACTAAACAACATATTTTCAATGTACATGAAACAGTCTTCTATTGGAAGAAGTCATCTTAGACCTTCCTAGCTAGAGAGGAGAAGTCAATTACTGGCTTCAAAGCATCAAAGGGACAGGCAGACTCTTATTAGGGGCTAATGTAACTGGTGACGTTAAAATGAAGCTAAGGCTCATTTACCTACCATTCCAAAAACCCTAGGGCCCTTAAGAATGATACCAAATCTGCTCTGCTTGAGCTCTATAAATGGAATAAGAAAGTCTTGATAACAGCACATCTGTTTACAACATGGTTTACTGGCTATTTTAAGTCCACTGTTGAGACCTACTGCTCTGAAAAAAAAAAAAAAAGATTCCTTTCAAAATATTACAATGCACCTGGTCACCCAAGAGCTCTGATGGAGATGGACAATGAGATTAATGTTCTTTCCATGCTTGCTAACATAACGTCCATCCTGCAGCCCATGGATCAAGGAGTGATTTTCACTTTGAAGTCCTATGTAAGAAACACATTCCATAAGGCTAAAGCTGCCATAGATAACGATTTCTCTGATGGATCTAGGCAAGGTAAATAGAAAACCTTCCAAAAAGGATTCACCATTCTAGATGCCATTAAGAACATTTATGATTCATGGGAAGAAGTCAAAATATCAACAGTAGCAGGAGTTTGGAAGAAGTGGATTCCAGTTCTCCTGGATGATTTTGTCAGGTTTCAAAACTTCAGTGGAGGAAGTAACTGCAGATGTGGTGGAAACAGCAAGAGAACCAGAAGTAGGACCTGAAGATATGACTGAACAACTATTCCCTGAGTTACAACAATATTGAAATTCGGCCAACTAGTTACCCTGAAATGGCCTGTAAGCATTTACGTGACTGGCAGAGTCACTCAGTACAGGGCTGCAGTCTCCTGGTAACCTTTAGCAGGTAAGGAGGTACTTCTTGTGGACGAGTAAAGGAAGTGGTTTGAGATGGAATCTACTCCTGATGAAGATGCTGTGAAGACTGTTGAATTGACAACAAAGGATTTAGAATATTACACAGACTTAGTTGGTAATGCAGTGGCAGGGTTTGAGAGGACTGATTCTAATTCTGAAGGAAGTTCTACCGTTTGTAAAATGCTAGCAAACAGCATCGCATACTCGAGAAATCGTTCGTGAAAGGAAGAGTCCATCAATAATGGCCAACTTCATGTGGTCTTAATTTAAGAAGTTACCATGGCCACCCTAACCTTCAGGAATCCCCACCCTGATCAGTCAGTGATCATCGACATCAAGGCAGGATCCTCCACCAGCAAAAAGATTATGATTTCCTGAAAGCTCAGATGATGGTTAGTGTTTTTAGTAATAAGTATTTTTTAATTAAGGTATTTACTTTTTAAAGACAATGTTATTGCACACATAAGAGATTACAGTATAGTGTAAACATAACTTTTATATGCACTGACAAACCAAAAAACTCATTTGACTCACTTTATCAGGATATCCATTTTATTGCAGAACTCTGGAACTAAACTCACAGTATCTCTGAGGAATGCCTGTACATAAAATGATATATTTTCCCCACTTTAGTCAGTCATAACATTATTTAGACATGGCCTATATCCAAGCCTTGATATTTTTAAATGGGAGGACTATATTCTGAAGGATAAAGATATGAAATGCAGTGTGTATTTTAAGCCACTCTTATTTTATACCAATGTGAAAAGTAAACCAACCTGAAATTTCTATGTAAATGGAAGAATTATAAACATGCTCAGGTATGCTAAAATGTTCTTACAACAAAACACGGCAACTGAATTTGGCATGCTCTGCCAAAAAACAAGAGTCTTCATTTCCATGTATAAGTGGAACTATTCACAGAGAAATTTTCAAGCAAAGCTCTTTTTCTCTCTAGGAAAGGCAAGTCATAAGAGCTACTTAAACTATTCTCAACTTCCAAGTTGTTAAATGCAACTACTATTTTGAGACTTTTCTCAAGCCTATCCTAAAAGCCACAGCTGAGTTGAATCCAGCATATCTACACACTTAAGCATGTAAAGGCACATCCAGTAACAGATAAAATGGCATTTGTGATATTTTAAAAAATGATATTATAGAAGTAATCCATTCTGACTGCTAAAATATCCAATGGAATATTTTACAGATTCTTTCTTAAATGAGAGTTAAAAAAAAAAAAAGTGATAATTTTTGGCTCAAACCAGTAGACAAAACAACGTTATTATCAACTTAGGGGAAGACTCCAAAAAAGCAGCAAAGACTAAGAGCTGTATATCTACCCTCTGAAGCTATAGCTGCCATTTCCCTAGCAATTCTGGAAAGCTTTTTCTCGTTCTCCCTACCACATCCTTTTATCCCCCAAATATATTTTGGCATGAGCCACCTAAAGACTTTATTCCTTTTTAATTCTTCCTTCTTTGTTTACACAAAAATTGGTATTGTTCCAAACTCCAAAAGTCTTATACAGGACGAGAATATTTAAATGAAGACTTTTGACCATTTTCTCATTCTCTAAATGCTGATGACAGTTACTAAATAAGGTCCCAAAACAACTAATTGCATCCGATCCACAAATTAAGGATAATCTCACTATTGAATACCATCATTTCTGCCACATTTTAGTTTCCTAATGTGTACTTTTAAGTGAAGTCAGTGGAAGGATTTACTGCTTATCTCTGTTCAATTAAACATTTGAGGGCCCATTATGTAGGGACACTCAAAGGTGAAAGAATACGGATGGCTCAGATCCCTCAGGGAGTCCATAGTTTCTTCTTATTGGAGCTAAGGGCTCAGATACTATCTGATGATCTTACTTCCTCTTACTGCACTTCTATCCCTAAGATGTGCCAAAGTTTGCTGATTTTGTCAGTCTCTGGGTTTACTCACTGTCATTTCTTTGGTGGCTCTGTTCTATCACATGTGAAGCTAATACCCTGTGTTACATTTCTTCCTTTTGAAAGACCTAGAATTGTCTGTTTCTCGGGACAAACATTGACACATGTAACAAATGGAGGTCCATACATATGAAATACATTGTTTGTAAAAGAACTGTACTGATAGATAAACTCTGAACTTAGTCTTAACAATGACTGTAAGGCAGTTTCCAGGTCCCCAAACTGCACATGCATGAAGTGCTCATGGTCCTCTACATGATGTTGCCACAGATGTTAACAGACAGGCA